TCCTCAAGTGCCCTGCAAGGGCCGAAAGTGAGGCCGTTTCGCACGATCAGAATACTACAGAAATAATGGCAGCAAGGCACGAAGGCGGACCATCAAGGTCCGGTTTAAAGGTGATAATGCCGCAAAAGATGATTCGGGCCAAGTTATCCATGGAAGAAGAAGAAGAAGATGATAACATGTCCGAAGAAGAGGATGACGATTGGTTGAACTATGAACTCGATCATGAGGAGTTTAAAGCCGCCTTGGGATTAAAAATCGGAGGCAAAGAAGAAGGTGAGCAGCCTAATCACACCCCAACCTTAACGTTCGGAACCTGGGAAGGGGACCCAAGGGCCACTATCGCAACAGGAGAGGCTGCAGACCGAACAACCTCAAGAATCGCCACGAAGAAAGAATGTCGGGAAAATCAACCTATGGAAGTTGAACCGACGTATGCGGTTCAAAGAACTATGCCCATAAATATGGTGTACGTCCTCCCAGGTTTCTATAGATCACAAGAGGATCAGCCAGGATATATGGAGGGTGATAGTCTGGTTGGGGATCACCCGTCCGCATTGATACACATAATCGATGATCATGATGAAAGGCCTGAAATTCTGAAGATAAATGAATCAAACACGGCTGGAAAAATGGAAAATTCCAAGGAAGGAATTCCTCGGGTATTCTTCACCAGACCAACCCGAGCCATGACAAATCATTTGAGACCCTTGTTCATCTCCGCCAGAATCAACGGTGTACCATTTAAGAAGGTGCTAATCAACGGAGGAGCTGCTGTGAATATCTTACCATTCAAAAGATTAGAGAAGCTGGGAAAGAACAAGGCAGACCTCATCCCCACAGATTTGACTGTATCTAACTTCGTAGGGACCATTACTGCCACCCATGGCATTCTGGTAGCTGAATTTGAAGTCGGATCTAAGAATCTGATGGTATCATATTTGGTGGTAGATAGCACGTCATCCTACCATGCTTTAATGGGCAGGGATTGGATTCATCAGAGCATGTCGATACCATCTTCCCTTTAGCAAGAACTACTGATGTGGGACGAAGAGTTAGGGGATTATGAAATGATAAAGGCAGATCCACAGCCATTCCTGCCATCTGCCAATAGCATTGACGCACGGTTTTATAACGAGGACATAGCTCCTCTCACCATTCCAGAACTAATCAAGAACGGCCACTCTCCAGTAGTGATGGCCCAGAAGTTCATCCAGCAGGGCCTCATTTTCTCAGCAGAAGAATGGGAAAGGCCCCAAGTATCCTTCGCCAATTCCCATGGATAAACACGACCTACAGGAGCAAGAGCCGCCTCTAGCATAAACATCTCTAGTGGAACGGCCGCAAACGGAAGAGGTAATGCAAGAAGAATTAGGAATGGATCCAACCAACTACATGGCTGAATTTGTTTCTGAAGATAACTGGGCCGAATCAGCAGGGCTGAATGAAGAAATCCAATTAGGGCCCACTAAGCTCAGCGCGACACCTCCAGAAATTCAGGACCCTCTGGAAGAAATTAATTTGGGAACTGATGAGGATCCAAGGCCAACATTCATCAGTGGCCTCTTGGATCCTAGCATCAAGGCAAGAATTCAGAGACTGTTTCGCTTGGCATTACCATGAAATGCCAGGACTGGATAGGAGTTTGGTAGAACACCGATTGCCCATAAAAGAGGGCTATAAACCAGTAAAGCAGCTAAAGCGAAGGATGTCAGTCGAAACTGAGTTAAAGGTAAAAGAAGAGATCCAGAGATTATTAAGGGCAGGATTCATTAGGCCAGCCTGGTATGTCGAATGGTTGGCAAACATTGTGCCCGTTCTCAAAAAGGTCACCAAGGCTGTCAGAGTATGTGTCGACTACAGAAACCTGAATGAAGCTACCCCAAATGACGAATACCCTATGCCAATGGCTGATATGCTGATTGATGGAGCAGCGCGTAACAAGATTCTGTCATTCATGGATGGCAACGCAGGGTATAACCAGATCATGGTCGCTGAAGAAGACATTCATAAGACAGCATTCAGATGCCCAGGACACGTGGGAGCATATGAATATCTGGTCATGCCCTTCGGGCTGAAAAATGCAGGGGCCACGTATCAAAGGGCAATGAACGCCATTTT